CAGGGTGAATACTGTTTAACACGTCAAGAAACTTGTTACTACGCTCCTCATTATCAAAATATGTGAATGAGTCGTCCACGAAACGTACATTAAAGGTCAGGCCACAATGAATCATCAATTTTCGACTCACAGTAACTGACAAACACGTTTGCCAATACTGGACCAAGGGGCGAACCCATCGCGACACCATCGACTTGTTTGTACATGACATTGTTGAAAGAAAACTCAACTCCAGTTTTAACCAGCAACAACAACCGTCTAAACGCACTTTCAGATATCCAAGGAGTGTCGATGTCATCATTACGGTACAAAACATCCATGCAGATGTCAACAGTTTCTTCAATCGGCACATTAGTAAATAAACTGACGACGTCAAACGAACACATGTGTGCGTTGGGTGGTACAGGCTTGTTGCGGAGCTTTTCGACGAAATCAAAACTGTCTTTTACAGTGCGCTTGCAATAGTGGTCCTGCACTGGTTGTAAGTAAATACACAGCCACTTGGAAATAGAATACTGAGGTGAGGCCGTCATAGAAACGATGGGACGTACTGGACATGTGGGCTTGTGTATTTTTGGTAAGCCATAATAGCCTAGGCCGGAGGGTGCCTGTCGGTTTAATGCGATCGAAATCATTGGAGGATATTTCTCCGTCGGCTTTCAGTTTCTTTAGGTAAGCTATTAGTTCTTGCGGCGGTGGAGCTTGCCAGAGACAGACTGCGAGCAACACCGACAGTGGCAGTAACACTACAATTGCCAACCCCAAAAAACCCAACTTGCGTATCAGCAGCTCCCACACCATCACCACCAATGCAATCTACAGCAACCACAACTAATCCACCATCCAAGCCCACTATTGAAAGACCAAGACGATCAACAGCCAACTACAACAGAAGCTACGCACTCAACGGACAAGGGCGTAAGGAGGGACGTGACAGCAGGGTGACGGCCGAGTCCCGTTCAATGGACCAAGTCAGGCGGGATAACAGAGAGAGCGCAGAGGAAGCGGATGATGGGACGGACGGTGCAATGAGTCGGAGAGCGACGATTGTAGTGATCGTGAGAGTGCCGGCGAGAATGTTAGTGTTGTGCGTAGGTTTCGTGGTAGCAAGTCTTCAGTGTACAATCATCTGTTGGCTAGTCCTGATTGTTGCAATTCGTATTCTGACTCTTCGTTCACTGTATTGTGCCGTGGTCGTCATGGTTATGAACTACAGTTAAAAGTTTTGGAAGCGGCCATCTGTCAGCGTCTGTATAAGCCTAATTTGTGTGTACAAAAAGATAGTATAATTGGGTTGAAATTGTTCAAGTAAAGTGTCATGTTTGGTGCAGCCAAGCTTGGCCGTTAATGTTCTAGGTGTAATGTACTCCTGTTATTTGTTATTATTATTATGTGAAGTGTGTGGGTACAGTGAGGGCTGCGTCCCACCCGCCTGTGTGGATTCACAGGAAGTGTGAGTTACGAAGTCTGAAGAAAATGTTGAACGGTCTCTGCTGGGATGACGACTACACCATAGCTCGGTGGTTAGAGCATCGCTAGCTACAAGCGAGGGTCCCTGGTTCGAGTCCTGGTGGTGACAGTCAATTTTTTCTTGAGGCGGTGGTGGAGTGGGTTGTTGGAGTTGTAGGGTGATGGTCCTGTGCACCACGCGAAACCGAAACCAACAGAGAAAACGCAACACCGGACACCACAGCAGACACACCAACGCACACAGGTCAAACTCGACAGCGAGGACGAACACTCAGCTGGAGATTAATACTTAAAATGACGGAGGGAACTTCGAGAGCGAGGACGAACACTCAGCTGGAGATCTCAGAATAAGGGTGTGAACGAAGAGGGCAGGCGGGGAATGGTGACTCCCGCCATGATGGGGGCTGGGGGTGGGTTAACCGGGTCCAAAAATACGCTTTAATCTATTCCTGTGGTGCGGCGGGATGAATGGACGCCAAGCCGCTTAATGGTGTAAACTAGGGGGGAATGAACAACAGAAACTTGCCATGGGCCATCCCAATACCGGAACAATTTAGGGCTGTCACCAGCCTGGGGGGTCGGTAAAGCCAAACAAACTGTCCCACTTTCAAGGTATCGGCATTGGCCTTCAGATCATAGTTGGTCTTAGCACGGCGGTGGCCACCATCCAAGTGCTCTCTGACTAACCTATAGGCAGCCTCTAAACGTTCCTTCAAACGGATAACATACGAGGTGGGGCTGAGAGTGACAGGTGTAGGGTCTGGGGCAGGGCATAACAAATCTAGGGGCAGACGGGCCTCCCTTCCGAACAGTAAGAAGAATGGGGTATTTATTTTTTATTTTTTTTACTAGAGCCACGTAAACCCGACATGTGTGAGCCATGAATAAGGGGAGTGGTGGCGTGGTCTGGGATGCTCTGCCGACCTTGGGTCTCGGCTTCATCACAACCAGGCGCGCCAATAGCAGAGATATAGTGAGTGGAATTATGCACACTCGTATTGTAGGCCAGTTGGGCCAGCGGCAACCGTTCATCCCAAGAGTCACAATCAGCTGAATCAATGAAAGCTCGGAGCATGACTTGGATCGTGCGGTTAGCTCGTTCAATCATGCCATCACACATTGGGTGGTACGGGGTTGTCCGGGTCTTTTCACATCAAACCGTTTGCGCAATTCTAGAAACAGCTGTGAGCCTGCCGTGGGGTAAGCCCTGGCTGTCAACAGACGAATGTCAATCGGCTAAAGTCGACAACGATTCCCCGTGTTGGCGGCGTTTCGCACGTACTGGGCCTCTGCTGGCATGTATTGCTCAGTAAGGATTTTTCGAAGGGTGTCATACTGCCCACGTTCTACCACTGTTAAGCTTAGTAGGAAGGGTGCAGCACTGTCACGACTCTTGAAGTGACCTCTTTAGCAACACTAGTTTACAGTGGAGTTTGCGGGCAGCATCCTCATCCTTCGCCTCCGGATCAGTAAGAAAGGGGTTATGAGAGACGGGAGTCCAATCATCTAAACCACGGCTAAGGGGACCCGGACACTGATAGTCTGTAGTGGGGAGGGAGACATCTGGCTTACCACTAGGCTTGAACTTCGTATCCTCAGCATAATGAATTTTCGGTGTTGGTATATCATCAGGTGCGTATGGACCGTCAGAACAAGCTTCAGAGTACTCGTACCGAGTATAAAATGTTGTGTCTTTAGGTGGGGCCGGGTAGAAGTAACAGTAGGTGGGGTAACCGTATAGTGTGAGACAGATGTTTCCCCTCGGGTTCTTATCGGGGCTGGACTGACAGGCCGAGCCAGAACGGTGGTATCATCCCAACCATTAGCATCACAAGCATTATCGAAATCTAATAAAAATGCTTCGAAATCCTCGTTCTCCTTGCCGGAGAAAGGACGGGCCATTATCCAAGAAGATTGACTTGCCATATTGAATAATTTTTTTAATAATTTTTTTAAAAGATCAAATATGGAGGACCGAACAGGTTCGTACTACACTGCACTATACACTAAGGCTGATAAGTATTAGTTTGATGCACCCGTAGGGTTCCCTGTAACAAGGCCATGCCTGTTGGGACTCCCCTAGTCAAATAATAAATACTACTAGTACTACTACATGTACCAGGGGCGTAGCACCCGCAGGGCCGCTATGACTGGTACGACCATGGCCGTACCACTTTTCGAAAAGTGTGGTCCGTCCGGAACGTCCAAAACCGTAATAAAAAAATCAGGATCCATCGATGCATATGCGCATCAGACTTTGACCTTTTCTAGACTCGTACTCGTAGATCTGCCATGCATCTGTGCATGTCCATGCACGTCTCTTCTGCCCGTGAAATAATTCTATGACTTATAAACTGTGCCAGAAGTGTGCCAGAAGTTCCTAGAACGCAGGATTTTGTGTCTTTTTTACATTTTCCCGGGGGAGGTCCCCCGGACCCCCCCCCCCCTCCAAAATGGCCTTCGGCCGCGCCGACCTTTGGTCGTACCACTTCCAAAACCCCTCCTAGTCCTACGCCCCTGTGTACTACTACTACCCAAAACACCACAAAAGGACACTAATTAACACAAAAGGAAAAACGAACAAGAACACAACTGTTTTTCGATTTTGACAGCATGTTACGCCTTGTAACATGCTGTCAAAATCGAAAAACATGTTAAACTACCAAGCAAGGCTTCTGTATATAAGAACAGAACTGTAGGCAGAAGCACTTATGACTACAGTCCATTCATAAAAAGATGGGCTCTGGCGAGCTCCCGCATTTGGCGATTTTTCGTGATTTCATCGTACACAGTGCAGTGCTGCGAAATTTGAAATTTGAAAAAGGGTCCAAAAAGGGTACCTGAACTGGGGTTCGAACCGCACAATGCACGTTTGCAGGCAGGGTCAAACGGCCTGGATTTTTATGGTTTTTCCCAATTCAGTGCTGTTGGGGCAAAACCTGGCCGAAATTCTATTCTTGTTATGGCTTGCTTTTTGGACAAAAAAACTTCAGAAACATGATTGGAAGAGGATTCCATAAGGGATTGCAGAAAAAAATTCTAAAAAAACTCAAAGTTTGACCCATTTATGGCCAAAAGCTAGAAGTCCATCTTTTTCTGAATGGACTGTAACACGATACACAAGCTTATCGAAGTTACTCACGCGGGGAATTGAAAAGCACCGGGAATATTCATTAGGGAAAACGTTAGGTAGTCGGTAGAGCTTCGGGAGTGGGTACTCAGAGCCAAAGTTGGGCGCCAATGTTGACAAAATATTATGGAGTGGGTATAACACTAACCCCAGTTACAGGAGATACCATATTACTGGCACAACCAACAAGCCAAGCGGCTCGGGCGACTTGGCAAACTAACAGTCTGGTCATCATGGTCATACTACTTTCTGAATTCATGAAGCTCGAAGTGACTTTCGTCCTGAAGTCGTGAAGAAATAAAAAAGTGAAATCCAAGTATTTTCGCACCGTGCCACAATGACGTCACAGCCAAGGAGTCGTCAAAATGATGGGCCCCTAGCCCTGGCCCTGGCTGTCAGTCACCAGACATTGTCTGACTGAATTGAATTTTTTTTATTGTCCTCATGTTGCAGTCGCATGTTTTACTTTTAGACTGCAGGAATTGGGTGCGTAGAATACCCTGAGGCTGAATTGCGATACGTCCTTGGCACAGGATGGACGCGAGCCCTGAAGAAAAATGCCAGGGAAGTGAAGGTGAACAGGGCAAGGTTTGTGACCAGAAAAGCAGGAACGTCGTCTCTTCAGAACTGGGTGCAGACGACAAAGAAAAGGACAGCATGTCGCAGGAGGAAAGTGGTGCTACTCGAATGGTCCAGGATGAGGAAGCTGATTCTCCTGTTGCTGATGGTGCTGCCGGTGTTGCAGACGGTAGTCAATCTCCAGAGTGTGATGGTTCTCTTGTTGGAACAGAGAATTCAACTGCTGGATCTTGCGAGGAGTCTTCTGATCATGATTATGCCCAAATATCAGATTCGGAAACTGACGCGTCCATACTGGAACGTCTTTTTCCTGAATTCCCCAGCTGCGACGATGAGGATGAGGATGATGATGATGATGATGACGAAAACACCAGCGACGAGGACATCGGGGGTGGCGCAGCAGAGCCTGATATCCCTGGCTGCACGGAGGACACGCGATGTCCGGCGATGACGCGGTGGAGCACTGCGTACGACCTGCGGCGCCGCCACCTGGGCCTCTGCAGCGCTTCGTCACTGCGGCGCAGAGCCATGAGCAGCTACGCGCTGGTGCGGCGACTGGACAAAGAGCGCGAGATAGCAGGTCACGAGGGCTGCGTAAACACCCTACACTACAGCGAAGACGGAGAGGTGCTGGCGTCGAGTGGCGATGACTTGAACGTGATGCTGTGGGACTGGCGACGAGGCAAGCGTACGCTGGCCTTTGCCAGCGGGCACAGCAGCAACGTCTTCCAGGCCAAGTTCATGCCCAGCTGCCTGAACTCGATGATGGTGTCGACGGCGCGCGATGGCCTAGTGCGACGGCACCTGCTAACCCCGTCGGGCGACGTGACATCCAAGACGGTTGCGGAGCACGACGACGCTGCTCACAAGCTGGCCCTGGAGCCGGGAAACCCGCACACGGTGCGCTCGTGCGGCGAGGACGGCAAGGTGTTCTCCATCGATTTGAGGACGGACGAATGCGAGCTGCTAGTGCAGAGTATGGAGTTGCGCAGCCCCCGGCACGCTCGTCTCTACTCGATCTTCACCAATCCAGTTCAGCCGTGGTACTTTGCCGTGTCTGGTTCTAGTCGAACCCTCAGCGTCTATGATCAACGGTACATCACCGACGATAGACCGGTATGTGTTCCAGTCTGATGATGTGTGCCTGCAAGGTAGCTCAAGACCAATTAATTGGTCCGAAGATTGGTCTGTTTGCTTTTCTCTGTCTTCGGCACCTCTCTATAGATGTATGAAGCAAGAAATGGCCGTTTTGGTGCGGTATTTGGGTACCATTGGGTATCCAGTATGCCACTCTGAAAAATATCGGATTTTTGTGATTTAGCGGAAATTTTAGGCGACTTCTCGGCTGGGTCTTCTTTGTTAGATAGCTTTGCGTATCCCAATATCATGCTCTTGTTCCTGTAGAGAGGCTGTAATAGTCACACACTCTCTCTCTCCCAACTACCCCCGCACACAACCTCGTTGCAGACCAGCCAACACACACGGCTCTGGGTTGTAATGAATAGTTACGATAAAGGCTTAGACTAAATTTAGAGTAAAGAGCAAAAAACCGCCAACCGGCAACACCTCGATCAAACCATCAAGAACCTCATTTCTCTCCCAACTGCAACTACTAGAACCACTTGTCACGCATGCAAGCTTAGCATTGTCACCATCATTGGTGCGCGCGCGAGCGTGCGCATGCGCACGGTAAACCGTATTTGGCGCACACTAACGTCATGCTAGGAGGTAATGAACTAATGATCATTCATGACACAGACAAGCAGACAAGTAAACATGCATGAGAATGTCCACAATGCACACAGCAAGGAACAACAGCACACTGAGATGTCACCTCGGGACAGTCATATTGATTATTACACCCCTCCCCCAGGTGACATTTCAGTCAGCATAACGGGATGGCATGACCAGTCGCCCACGGTCACGGAATGTGTATTGGTGGCGAGCGGAGTCATCTGCCACATCGAGCTCCTCCAGTGCTTCACCTACAGCGATCCGAGGAGCTGGCTTGATATGGTCCACATTGACGACTTTCTTCCTTTGCCCAGATGCAATGACCACCGTAGAAGGGCTGATAACTTTCTTGATCACCCAGCCAGGCTCGTACGGAGACAACAACTTCTGGCTGCGGTCGGGACGACGAAGCATGACGGCATCATCCGGGTGGTAGAGCTGAGGCTGATCATGCTCATTATCAACACCATCGTGGACAGATGGCTCCATCTCGATCAGGTCACGGATGCGAGCAGCGCTGTCACCGAGCCGACTGACCCACTGGCTCATCTCGCAGGCAGGTTGGTCCTTTGCCACAATTAGGTCACGTGGTTGCCAGACTGTCATCGCCATCATCGGTGTCAGCCTGGTGGTTGAATGGGGTCTATTCCTGTAATAGTACAGGAGAAGGTCGAGCTCCGACCGCCAGTCGTCGGCAGTGTCCAGGACCTTCCGCATCATCGTAAGCAGTGTGCGGTTCATCCGCTCCACGGCACCATGTGACTGTGGGTGGCGTACCGCACCAGTCTCGACTATCACATGGAACTGACTCCACAGGGCGTTGACCACAGCATTCTGAAATTCGGTGCCATTGTCGACGCGTACGACATCCGGAGGACCCCTACCCAGCGACAACATATCGCCAAGAATGCGTCGGCCACGGATTGGGCATCATGGCGTCGCAACGGTACGACTTCGGCCCATTTGGTGAAGTCATCAACACACACCAACACACAATGGAAGCGGCCACTCTTCTCCGGCCCAAGTTCCAGAGTGTCGAGATGCACCACGCTCCAGGGCCTCCCAGGAATGTCGCGACGGGTAGAAGCAACTGACGCACCAGCACGATGACTAGCAGCACAGCATTGAGGACAGTCACGACAATACTGGCGGCACTTGTCAGCCATGGAGATAAAGAAACAGCGGCTACGCAGCATGGCATGCATGGTACTAGAGTTGCCATAGCCGCTGAGCCCATGAACTGAACTGAGCAGGACTGGCTCCAGATCCTGTGAAACAACTGGAACCACCACCTCACCTTTCACGGCCAACTTCACAGACCGGCACAGCACGTCATCCCGAAGCAGCAGCTGATCACGCACCTGTCGAAAGGACGGGTGCGACACTGGCAGGTCGGCCTTGATTTCTCCAACCATGGTGGAGATGACCTGGCAGGAACGCTGAGCCTCTTGAATGCGCTCCGTCGTGAGCGGACCCAGGCCTTGCCGGTCAGTAGTGGCAGCAGCAGCAGCATCGACACAAACAGCATATGTCCCTTTGAACAGCTTTACCCAGGACGATGGGATCCGCGACAACCGATCTGCAAGATTCTTGGCCGACGGAACCCACAGCACGTCCACCGTCATATCCGTTGTTGCAAGGAGATCGTCGATGATTTCCAGCCGACGTCGAATCAGCGTTGCATTCAACCCACTCGTTTTGATGCGCAGCAGGTCATGAACAGTCTGCTGCAACCAGCTGGCCACTGTCTTTGAATCTGTAGCGACTTGAATTTGCGTGGCACCCCAGTCATGAACGAGATTGAGGCCCTTCACGACAGCCTCGAGTTCCGCCACATTGATGTGCTTGTGATCAGTACGGGGCCGCAACCACGATGCGTCTTCAATCACCTGACCGTCAATCTCCAACACGACACCGAGAGCTATGTCTGAGGCCTCACACCACACGGTCCACTGGCTATCTGGAGAGGCAGATACCTTCCAAGCACCACGGACGGGATCCTCCGTGTCGAGCCTCGCTGCGAGCTCTTTACAGCATGCCTCGACTGCTGGTGAAACTGGCACGTCCCAGTTTTCTCCTGTGCAAGACATCCTCTTCAACGCGCTGCAGGCCGGACGAAGCCAGGAACATACTGGATAGTGACCAGTTGCACGTCCACACCAGCTGAACAGACTACGCTTAGTCAATGGCTTAGGCACAGCAAGATCAACGCCACTGCGTCTTGACCACTGCAGTCTGCCCGACGATGACGACATCTGCAGACCCAGGACCCTGGCACTCGGCAGAGGCTCAGACGGCTTGGTGTCTAGCCCATAGCGACGCAAGTCGGTGGCGACATCATCTGCTTCAACTTGCGGCGTCAATATATCGTCAATGTAGTTATCCACGTTGGAGTGGTGCCGCAGAATCCACTGAACAATGATGTCCATAAATTTGGGCGCTATAGCTAACCCAAAAGCCATACATGTGACGGTGTAGAGTTGGCCCTTCCAGATCACTGTCTGATAGCACACCAGCTCTGGCTCGACATGAATCTGCATGTACGCCTTCCGAATATCCAGCAGTACAGATGACTCGTCGCTGACCATGCGCCACTTCCGCAAGGTCTCCTGACATGACGGAGAGTTCTGACCAGGCTCCGAGACAATGAGCTCGTTGAGGCGCCGGTAGTCTAAGCATGGTCGGACGGGAGTAGTCTCCTTGTGCTCTTGAGCCACCGCCAAAACCGGCAAGACACCTGCCATGTCGCCATGCACAGACTCATCAGATGGCTGAAGCCAGCCCTTGGTGATCCACTGGTCCACCTCCTGGCAAAATAGCTCCTCCTGATGGGCAGTCAATTGAGCACGCGAGTACTCACCAATGGGTGGGCCAACTGGCGATGTCGGAGGTGTGCCTGATGCCCATTTCCATGACAGAAACCACTGGCCACGAGAAGCATCCCAGCGCACTGATCCATCCGAACAACTCAGAGTAACGTCATCACCGCTACGCGTAACCTTGACATGCCGGTATGGATGGGGATCGTGAACTGGAGCATCACCCGTACTCGTCGGCACACCGCCTGCCGAGTTGCTTCCAAATGTTACTGATGAAAGCAGGCCATCACTGTATTGCAACTGAACACCACCAGATGCGGCAACGACATCTGCACCAAGTAGAAGTGGGGCATTGACCACATCCAGCGTCGCGACGACGGATGCTACTACTGATACGACCGGCAAGTGAACAGGACCATCATTGCGTCGTAGCTGAAGTTCAATACTGCCAAGCACATCCAGGGGCTGGCCATCCAATGCCAACGGAGCAGCACAGTGATCGGAGGAGAATGACAATCTATGCTGCTTGAGAAATGCTGCAGACACAAATGTACGACTGGCACCAGTGTCAATAACTGCCGCGCAGCGCATCCAGTCGCCATTAGCCGCATGGACATCGACATAAATCGTCGGCAACTCCATGGGTTGTGCCACAGGTGCACCCAACACTCGGTCCGGGGTGGCTTTTTTTTCTTTCTTTTTTGAGTACTAGTGGGCGATGTGGGCTGAACACTAGCCTCTCCCACGGCAGCAACAGCATTCTTCTGACTGTCAATCCATTTGCGCTTCATGGGGCAGTCCTTGATGATATGGCCCTTCTCCTCACAGAAATGACACTTGATACCAGACGACTGCTGACCCTTCTGGCGGCGGTTTGGGCACTCGCGTTTCACATGTCCAACAGTTTTACAGTGAAAGCAGACAACTGACCTGGCACTGCTACTCACACCAACTCGAGACTGGTCACCACCACTGGCACCATCAGGCTTGGGTACAGCTGCAACAACCGCATGCTGCAGTCGAGGTCGGGAGTCAGCCACTGCGTTCCGCAATGCATGCACGCGTTGCAAACATCCGCTTACCGTGAGAGCTTGCCCAGCCATGCTGAGCCGGATTTCCTTGTCGAAATCACCAGGTAAGCCCAGTAGAAACTGTTCAATAATCACGGGATCCTGGTCGGCATTACCGCCGCTGCGGTGACCCGAAATGGCAAGCAGGCGCTCCAAATCCGCAGCATAGGCGTCCGGCGACTCGTCCATCCTCAACCGACGGCGCACGAAACTTTGGTACGCTTGGGCCGGTGTCATTGCAAATGCCGATAACATCTTCTCGCGCACCTTATCTTCGACTTTTTTGTCCGCGTCCGACATCTTGGTGAAAACAAGAAACGCATCTTGATCCAGAAACAAGGGCAGATGCTTCATGCGTTTAGTCTCATCGTCCCAACCCTGAACACTTGCGAGCACCAAGAATTTGTTGTGGAACACCTCCCAACTATCCTGGCCAGTAAAGGGACGAACGAAATTATCGACTTTCAACGACATACCAGAATCTGTAGCAGTAGCCACTGCACCTCCACCGGAATTACGTCCCACAACACGACGTCGTCGTCGTCGTCGTCGCGGCATACACCAGAACAACTCTACAATAGTCACTAGCCGGGTTTCGGTACCACAAGCTGTAATAGTCACACAGTCTCTCTCTCCCAACTACCCCCGCACACAACCTCGTTGCAGACCAGCCAACATACACGGCTCTGGGTTGTAATGAATAGTAACGATAAAGGCTTAGACTAAAGTTAGAGTAAAGAGCAAAAAACCGCCAACCGGCAACACCTCGATCAAACCATCAAGAACCTCATTTCTCTCCCAACTGCAACTACTAGAACCACTTGTCACGCATGCAAGCTTAGCATTGTCACCATCATTGGCGCACGCGCGCGAGCGTGCACATGCGCACGGTAAACCGTATTTGGCGCGCAATAACGTCATGCTAGGAGGTAATGAACTAATGATCATTCATGACACCGACAAGCAGACAAGTAAACATGCATGAGAATGTCCACAATGCACACAGCGAGGAACAACAGCACACAGCACACTGAGATGTCACCTCGGGACAGTCATATTGATTATTACAAGGCATCCTGAACAAAGTAACACATCTCCACAACAGCCCCCCCCCCCCCCCCTCTGTAATCTTCCGTAGCCTTTCGCAGACGGTGAATTTCGCGTTAAAGGGGAAGTTAAGCCTGAAATCAAATTTCCACCAGCTGTAGTCTTCGGGGTGCTGAGTTGAATGGTCTTGGTCCGAGGAAGCTGAGACGCTCCCTTCCTCCTTCACTCCCAATCAAACTCGCCACTTCTACCGAAACTGGGTGACTGCGCCCTACTAGATGGGAATTTGTATGAAAAATGTCACTAAAAGCACCATTTCGTTCTTATTAAAGCACGGATGACCGCAATTAGCCCATATGTTGTAGTCTTTTGGACTCTGAGTCGACTGGTTTTGTCCGAGAAGGCTGCGATGCAGCGTTCGGCCCTTATTCCCCATCGAACATGGTTGAACAAGCGGTCACGTGCTCCTGCGTACACCAGTCACCTGGTCACCGTACCTGCAGGGTACAACTTACAGCCTGTTTGGGCGCGTTCCTGTCACTGAAGTTAGGGTTGGTTCACATATCGCCCGTACGCGCCGGGAGTCGCCGGCGGTGGGCCTCTTGCGGTCGGCCTCTCCCGACGCATTGCGATTATGTGAACCAGTGCAGTCGTAACAAAATCATACGGTAAAAAGTCGCTAGGGATCACCGGCAAAGTTGGGCAATGCCCAACTCTTGCGATCTGCCCCGGCACCAATCCCGTACAATTTTGACCAAAAGTGGTTTGTGGACCATTCGAGCCGGAGATCGCCGGTGACAGGACCCAGACTTTGTCAGAATTTCGAACCAAGACTCGTCCTAAATTTTCCTAAATTGAAGCTAAAGATTAGGTCTGTTCGCCATTCTTGTAGTCGCTTCAAGGTGGCAAATTAAATCAGCACCAATCCGTCCTTCTCGGATGATCTGCTTGACTGTTTTGCAACTTATGAGACAAATACAATTGAAACAAATAAAAATATGATGGATAGTTCTTGTGACTTCATCAACGTTTTCATGCATAATTTCGACACCAACACTGACTGGACCGCAATAAAATGTGTAGAAGTAGTTTCATGATCTCCAATAAAAGGTAGCATCGAGTGGCCATCACCGAAAGACCTTGAACTACTGAAGAAGCAAAGAATTCAAGCTTCAATTGTCAAAACTGTTGTAGCATTTGAGCGCATTCTGTACTACTGTAAAAGCCATATATTATAGCGAAGTGCTAAATCGAACGAGTTAACGAGGAGAAATCTGTCGTTAAAATAGAAATCGTTATACAGAAATCGATACATATACTGTCCTATTGAGCGTTGAGAATGAGTGGGAATCGTTATCTTTGGTACACGTAAACTAGTCAATCTTGGGAAATCGTTACATATGCGCCTCGTTAGAATAATGGCTTTTACTGTATTGTGTAGTAGATTTGGTACTCGAACCGTATGCGGGACGGATCGGGAGCTGGCTCACCGCCGGTGCTTCCCTTTGAGTTGAACTTTGGTGTGAAAGTTGTAGCGGAAGGGTGGCTCGAACTTAGAATGTACAGATCCCATGTGTGCTTGGCGAGGTTGTACCGTCAGACCTCGCATAACCGCACACATCCGTCTTCCACGAAAATATCCGGATAGGCGAGGGAACGGGATAATCGAACACACATACTGTATGTGTGCATGGCATATGCTGTAAATCGGTAACCAGTGATTTTCTTCCAGATGGCGAGGGATCCGGATAAAAGAGGACCGGATAAGCGAAATCTGACTGTAATGTGCTCTCTGCTTGCTTCGCCAACGTAGGAGTGATTATCAATTCCTTGTTGATCTTTTAAAGGTGTGTGTGTGTGTGTGCGTGTGCGTGTGCGCGCGTGTACACGTGGGCACGCACACACATGTGTCTCTAGGTCCAGCTCTACACGGTGAAGAGCATGAAGGAGCACGCCACTGTAACGTGTGTAGTGTACAGCAATGACGGCAAGGAGCTGTTAGCGACATACAATGACGAGTCCATCTACATCTTCAACACGGAGCTGAGTCGGACTGTGCCTGTACACCGCTACACGGTACGCTTAACTTGGTCACTTTCTGTGCAGATACCGTCACCTATAACACCATATACACGTGCACACACACGCGCACACAGACATACATACATACACACACACACACGCACGCACACACACACACACACACACACACACACACATACGTACAGACATACATACACACATACGTTCAGACATACATACACACATACGCACACACACATACATTGACCTTGACCTTGACACACGTCGCCTTGATAGGTTACACGGTCCCCGTCAGGGGAGAGGGGTGGAAGAGGCTGAGGAGCAGCACTTCTGATGGCGCACTAGATGGCGCACGCACACACACACACACACACACACACACACACACACACACACACACACACACACACACATGTTCACGAAGTGGGCGAAACGAATATCCAGGCGAACCCGTTGCATATCGATGGTCCCCGGGGCCTGTAGTCGAGGTGCCGTGAATTGTTTTTGAATCGCTGGAGAAGCGGGGGGTTGCTTGGCACAGACACACATAGAGTAGAAGGATGAACAAACCATCAGATTGAACACAATAAAGCCTTTGTGAAATGTCAGTTCAGCTCATGCTCTTGGTCGCAGTTCTAAAACTAATCTCTCCTCGCCGCCTCTTTACTAACAATCAGATTGACATGAACTTTATCTGAACACTCATCTGGAGTCCCAGGCGTCCTTTAGCTTCACCATAAAAGACAAGCGCCAAAGAGGGCCTATGGCGCCGGCAATTCACTGTTTCCGTAAATACTTCGTGCACAAGTGGTTCTCCACCTGTTCTCCACCAGGTTTGAGTGCGTCGAGAACAGCACCGCGAATCGTCCGTGTGCGAATTGTCCGTATATTATGTGTTCAGTGGTCCCTTTGTAACCCCACACTATTTGTGCTACGGAAATTCTGCCGGAGAAGGGATGTGCTGGATTAGCATATCTGATGTATAGGCACAGCGGGCATGACTTGGACATCTTGATCACGGACAATTATGCTGGCTTCTGGAGAGTGCTGGTTTATTGAGAGTGGCTATATCATGGGTGTGCAGCTCGACACCCGAGGAGAAATCAGTATCAGCAGCTACTACACCTTGCTGATGATGCTCACAAGACAGAAGCGGAAAAAAACACTGAATTTCTTTATTTACAGTGTAGTGCTCTACTCCGCGAAATGTGCTATTTTTATTATTATTATTATATCATGGGTACCGCTATTTTCCTGCTTGTGCTTTTGTTCACCACAGTGGTTGGGTTCTACAGTACAATATCATGCAAACTGTTGTACAGTGCTGGCCAAAGAAATCCAACCACATGAATAAAATAGCATTGCCGGGCGCTACGCAGCCCTAGCACTACACACACTGGTCTGTGCACTTTAACACGGCGCTACTTTATTCATGAGGTTGGATTTCTTTGGCCAACATTGTAGTTGACCAGAAACCGACTGATTGAATACTCTTCCTGTGTTACCATGGCATTGTATATACCTACTTTACTTGTACTCAATCTGCGGACAGCATGCTGTTTCGTTCTTTTTGAACTCATCAGCGCAGCACAGAGAAAATGAGGCCGAACCTGATAGCAATGAAAATAAAAATTTCCAATCAGGCCCGAACGTACCTTGCCAGAGTGCTCAAAATGACAAGTCAGTGAGCTCTGCATAACGCAAACAGCAAAGGCACTACCCCACGCAAGAGTGCTCAACTGCTACAAGAGCAGGAGCGAAATACTCAATCTGCGGACAGCATGCTGTTTCGTTCTTTTTGAACTCATCAGCGCAGCACAGAGAAAATGAGGCCGAACCTGATAGCAATGAAAATAAAAATTTCCAATCAGGCCCGAACGTACCTTGCCAGAGTGCTCAAAATGACAAGTCAGTGAGCTCTGCATAACGCAAACAGCAAAGGCACTACCCCACGCAAGAGTGCTCAACTGCTACAAGAGCAGGAGCGAAATACTCAATCTGCGGACAGCATGCTGTTTCGTTCTTTTTGAACTCATCAGCGCAGCACAGAGAAAATGAGGCCGAACCTGATAGCAACCACCCGAACCCAACTACTGTGTACTTGTATAAAAGCCGGGATTGTTCCTATGACTTTCTTAGTGAAATGTTGCAGGCTTCTATACAAGACAGGTATTTCTATGTATGTCAACACTAAAACCAGGCTTATGTGTGATTTGATGGGCCCAAAATTGCGGCTTCTATTCAAGTGCGGCTTTTATACAAGACTTTACGGTATACCCGTAGTGTTGCATATTAAAGCCGGGATTGTTCCTGTAGAGGCCGATGTCAAGGCTAGGTTTCTACTCGCATCAGGCTTCTATTCAAAGCAGGTATTTCTATGTGTGGCAACATTAAAACCAGGCTTATGTGCCGACAATAGACACCCTTAGCAAACAACGTTATGTTGTAACGGTATTACCGTAAGGGGGGAAACACCGTGATTTAGGCTCGACCTTTAGCAAGATGCACGCTATTTTTAGTACGCTGTTGCCACGAGAATAGCTTTTACTTCGCGCGCTACAACCATTTATGTCACCATACACGCGATACAAGGTGAAATGCATACGGACTATGCAATATTTGGCCAAAAAAACGTACCGTTGGTCACAACGATAAATCAGCCCCCATAACGTTTTTACGCTGCAGCTTCAACGCTATTTGGGTGATCAAGGTACGAGCACTGTAAAACAAATAGCGTTACCGTTGTTTGCTAAGGGTGTCTAGTGTATCTTGAAAGTCAGGCTTGTATTCAAAACAGTCTTCTATACGAGACAGGCTTTAATACAAGACACTGCGGTACACGCATTGTACTTCCTCTGGCAGCTAAACCCACTTGGCTCATTGTGAATGATGTTCCAGTACTGTACTATGGGTAGGTGTTTATCAAACATGTGCTCACTTGTAGGATGTACATCTAGCGTGTTGCATACTGTCGATATTTTATTGTTGATGCATGCAGGGTCATCGCAATAACGACACCATTAAGGGTGTCAACTTCTTTGGCCCGAATTCCGAGTACGTTGTGAGCGGCTCGGACTGTAGGCACGTGTTCATCTGGGAGAAATCCACCGAGAAAGTCGTGCAGCTGCTGAAAGCTGACGAGGTGGGTGCGGTGAACTGCCTGGAGCCCAATCCTCAGTGTATGGCGCTGGCCACCAGCGGTCTGGAGCACACGGTCAAGGTCTGGACGCCGCACGCCAGGCGGCCGACGGACATGAGCGGGCTCGAGGCCCTGACGTGGCGCAACGACATGACCGAGTGGCTGCAGGACTCCAGCCCCTGGGTGGTGAACGTTGCTGCCAATATGCTCGGCAGTAGCGATGAGGACGACAGCGACGACTAGAATGGCCCGGGCATCAACTGTGTTCAAGCCTAGCGACGTCCGTGCCGGTCTCGCCTCGTTGTATAGCTACAGCTGCGACCGTTTTCTGCTGACCATGTTCTGCTGACCGCTCTGTGTCGGCTGCCAGAGGTACTCACTGACACGTTTCACCGCATCCACAACCACCTCACCTGACCTGGAAAGTCGTGCAGCTGCTGAAAGCTGACGAGGTGGGTGCGGTGAACTGCCTGGAGCCCAATCCTCAGTGTATGGCGCTGGCCACCAGCGGTCTGGAGCACACGGTCAAGGTCTGGACGCCGCACGCCAGGCGGCCGACGGACATGAGCGGGCTCGAGGCCGTGACGTCGCGCAACGCCACCACCCTGCAGCACTCCAGCGCCTGGCTGGTGAACGTGCTGATGGAGCACCGCATTCGCAGCCTGATGAGGCATCGGCGCATGTACGGGAACCGTGCCGCTGCTGCTGGCGGCGTCGGAGATGCTGCTGCTGCTGCTGCTGCCGATATGCTCGCCAGAGGCGATGAGGACGACAGCGACGACGAGAATGGCCCGGGCATCAACTGTGTTCAAGCCTAGCGACGTCCGTGCCGGTCTCGCCTCGTTGTATAGCTACAGCTGCGACCGTTTTCTGCTGACCATGTTCTGCTGACCGCTCTGTGTCGGCTGCCAGAGGTACTCACTGACACGTTTCACCGCATCCACAACCACCTCACCTGACCTGGCCTTTCGTGCCATTGCCCGTCGTGTCATTGCCCGTCATGTCTCTACTGTCTGCATCGCTGAGGCTATCTGTCGTGTTGCTCCTGCTGCTGCTTCTTGTTGTGCTCGCTGCTGGCCTCTAGTAGTCCTGCAGGTGTCTCCAGGAATATCACGTATGTAAACTGACTCTGTGGTCTTTGCTGTCGCTGCTGTGGCAGTTGCTGCTGGTATTGTTGTAGAGAATAGGATAGTTGACATCATGGCCAAACCATCGCTTGTCGATCCGAATTGCCAGCCTGACAACGTAGTCCACGAGTTTAGTACTAGTTTGTGTGAACGAACAGCTATGACACTCGCAGCTTGTTGTGCTGTTTTTAGTAGTGTTCTTTTTTATATCCTTTTTTTTAGCCACGCTGTACATTGTACATGTACCGTGCCACATATATGGCCCATACGGTGCCCTTCATTCAGATCAAGAGCGTTTTATCATTTGAAGTTTTATGCACACTGGCAAATATCAGCTTTTCTCACACTTTTGTTCCTGGCACGAACACATTAGCGGCAAACTAGAGGTAATAGCTTTCTCTAGCGCTTATCTTTTTGTCTTACTTATGTCTGGGTCCCCCACTACCAGCACACCAGCTACCTGACGATCTCCCGTGGAGTGAAGCTCGGGGTTTTTACTACACGTGTTGTGTGTCCTTATGGTGTGTATTTTCTTACATTGTTTCCAATTTTAACAATGTGTGTCCACGTCAGCAGCTTCTCTTTACTCTTTTTTTATGTGTCTGCCCTGCGTACGTGCGTGTCCGATGTCGTTTCACCGTGTGTGTGTGTGTGCGTGTGTGTGTGTGTGTGTGCACTGTGTGGAGTCTGTTTCCTGCTATACCCGGTTTACTCTGCTGCTTGAGTCATCTATAACTAACTGTCACCATACTCTCTCGTTGTCTGCTTTCCTGTATTTTCGTGGGTTCTGTTTCTGGGTGCTAGTATGTATGTGTCAAATCCTATTCTCTCTTTTACTCCCGCTGCTGTGTTCTTTTGCTCCGCTGCCCTGGCTACCGCTGCCTTTGAACATACTTTCGATATCTGGATTTTTTTACTCTTTTTCCTGTTGTATTGCTGTGACCATTGTTATTGTGCACACGCTCATAATCATGGTATCATACCGTATATGGCCGTAGCCAATCGAAAGATGTGAGGGTGATTAACTGATGTGTGGCCAGCCATGGCAAGCTAACCAAAGAGAATGTGCCCATCCAATGGCACAGGTTGCACATGCACGGACCCCCAGTCTGCGCGGCCAATGACCTAGGCTGTACATGCATCGTGGTCTAAAACAAGTTAGTTCACTCTGAGAGTACTAAGGTTTCCTATGAAGAATGATTGTGTTGTGCTCCTTTTTCAAGCGAAGCTCACCAACACGATGCATCCAGAGCACATAAACTGAGCACGCAACTCTTGCACATGAGTTCAGGACAATGGAGTTTGTCGTTTACGTTGCCTTTGGTATCAAAATATGAGAAAGCATCATATCACAGGTCATATTCAGGCAGTACGACACCGGGAGGGCACAAGCAAGAGTGTTCATTTGTTTTATTTTTACATAATGAACACAACCCTACCAAGGATTAGGAAGAATTCGACAGGAAAAAAGCGGCTACATAGATGGTAGGGGCCACCATGAGCCACGGTGCCTGTGCTAGTGGGGCGCGCCTAGCTCTGCCGACAGACCGCCTCGGCTTCATTGCCACCCCACGCACCGAAGAAAGAGAGGAAGGGGGAAAGGAGGAAACAACGGAGAGAAATAGAAAGAAAAGAAATGCAAAATAAAAGGATAACAAGAATATGTGAGTATATTCCTAAAGGAGGGACTGGCAAGAGGCAAAGATACATGAAGAGACTACTGTGTGGAGACATAGCCGCATAGAAGATATACGGCCTGAGCTAAGGGAAAGCGGAGACACAAGGTGGAAAAGGAGCAGGAGAACACCGTGTCAGGTTAAATAACAGATGAGTAAAATAAACTCACATGAAATGGTACTTGTGTTATAAAGCTTTAATCAAAAAGGTGTGTGTGTGTGTTTGTGCTCCAGTTTTCTCAGTAAATTCAGGACAGGTGTGTGCGTGCGTGTGTGCCCAAAACCACTGCGAGCTGCGTAGATGGTGATTCACTGAATCTCGGAAGGTCTTTCCAGCTCGGGGGTAGCTGCAGCAGAAGGGCAGGGAGGGAGGTTATTATTATTATTTACTTTTATATTAGGTCCATGGGTCAATGGCGCAGTACGGGAAAGATGGGCGGGCAATTTCGCCCATTGTGTTTGGTTCGGCCCACGGAGGAATTTTCTGTGGACGCCAACTTTTCAGCAGATCCTCAGAAATACGGTTCAAGGCATGTAGAGGAGACGGCTCGATACTGGGACGCTTTGACAGCCAAATTTGTATAGACCCAAACCGATCATCAGCGTTGATTTTTCACTCGAAATATGTTTGTGGAAGGAAACTGGCATGTTGAAGTTTGCTCTGGGGCCAGAGTCAATCGAACTGAGCCACTCCTTTGTGTTGACCCATTGCCTCCAAGTTGCCCAATTTTTCGCTTCAAAAAAGTTCAAATCAGAGGTGGCTCCAAACCGGACACGTTTTAGAGTGCACGTCAAATTCACTCTGGGTCTGAAATTAGGTAATTGCTATCGCTCCACGACGGCCAGTACAGAGTAACAATAAGCCTTGTGTGTGCTTCCATTACAGTCCATTCAGAAAAAAATGAACTTCTAGCTTTTGGCCATAAATGGGTCAAACGTTGAGTTTTTTTAGAATTTTTTTCTGCAATCCCATATGGAATCCTCTACCAATTATGTTTCTGAAGTTTTTTTGTCCAAAAAGCAAGCCATAGCAAGAATAGGATTTCGGCCAGGTTTTGCCCCAAAAGCACTGAATTGGGAAAAACCATCAAAATCCAGGCCGTTTGACCCCGCCTGCAACTGTGCATTCTGCGGTTCGAACCCCAGTTCAGGCACCCTTTTTGGACCCTTTTTCAAATTTCAAAGTTCGCAGCACTGCACTGTGTACGATGAAATCACGAAAAATCGCCAAATACGGGAGCTCGCCAGAGCCAGGACCCATCTTTTTATGAATGGACTGTAGTTTTGATTGGTATGCGGTGCTTTATTGGCGAGAGGCAAGCCGCTGTTTACCTGCGACAAGAAGTTGATTTTTCGAAAGTCGTAAAACTCAAGTCGCAGTGCGAAGCAACACGTCAAAAACTCACCTGCTTGATATGGCGCTTCTGGTCATCGCAGAGCCATGACATTTTGTCTCGGAGTATAACACATCGTAGTCTCACTGTGACATAATATTATGTCTTCTAATCAAAATACCAAGAGAGAAAGTGAATATTGAGTCCGTTCCGGTTTGCAACCTATGTCCTATTTGAAACCGTCCCCTCTACTACAAGTCAGTGTAGGTGCGTGAACTACACGGTGCTGGCCAGAGGAATCCAACCTCATGAATAAAGTAGCGCCGCATTCGAGTGCACAGACCAGTGTTTGTAGTGCTAGCTAGGGCTGCGCTATTTTATTCATTTTGAAAGCGGCGCCCACTGCACGCTTTGTATGGCATGCGTCATGTATCCTGAAAAAGGACGTCAACAAGAATCTCTGCTGTTTACTGTTGACCTGACCGGCTGCAGAGTCATACACCGTCTTGACCTTGAACCCTGTAGTTGCAGATCGCTGCTCGGATGAAAGAAATTCCTAAAAAAATAATGCAAGCGACGAACTCCGGAGTCTCCCCAAACTGTTGCGGAGCTCAGTGCGCGCCCCTGGTTTACAGCGGTGTATGCACTCTCGCTACAGTTCAACGCTGTGGCTTCAAGCCAGAGCAGTGTCACCCAGGGACTGTGTTATGCCTGTTCCCCAGAGTTTTCTCCAGGGGTGACCTAACAAGTTAGTTAGTTTGGTGACTCGTGCCGTAGTAAGTTAGCACCACGCTGGCTGGGCTCAGGATGCATATGTTGATTCGGCAAATCTTGCTACTCAGACCAGAGCTAGGCCTGTCCGAAAAATGTTCTGAATGTTTTTTTTGCATTTTGGGGTACATTTTGCATTTTTGCATTTTTTCTGAATTTTGCCCATTTTCGTTCGAATTCCAAGGTTTCAGCCAAGGTTTCAGCTCGACCAAGTCAAGTTTGGCTTGCTATAGTCCTTTTGCGCATTACGTCATTGGGCACGCGTAACGGAAAAATTTGAACCTAATGCCAGTAGTAATGGGTGTCGAGGAATCTTGGCCATTACTGCATTAGGCGATTGTAATATTACTTTAGATGGTTTTGCAGAATATTTTATGGCTATTTGGTTCTTTGGCTCTTGGCGAAGCCTTGTTTTGTAGATTTCGACACCTCTGTTGCCCTTTATTAGCGGCGAAGCTGTGTAGGCTATGAGCTGAAGCCGTGGAAGTCGCGATTTTTGACTGATTTGGAGCATCGATGGCTGTCCAAAGTCACAAATGTACTTCTTGAACCAGTCGAGTGTCGTCGGTGGAAGAATGGAGGACCTGTACTCTTTAGTCGAAGCAGACGTTCCCGGTGCTTCTCTGAGTGGTCGTAAGCCAAGGGATCTGCACGTACCAGAGTTGAAAAGGTGGCTGGCGTGCCGTGGTGCGTCTCGTCGTGGAAAGCATGCGGAGCTTGTGAAAAGGCGAGTTTCTGATACATGTGCTGACATTTCGTGAGATTTATTTCGAAATACATATCGTAGCCCTTCGATCCATGGATATTCCTTGTGAATATTGATTATTATTGGCTGTTCATAATACAAAATTTGAGAAAGCCATCGACGATGTTCGACTCTGGTGCTCTGCAGGGTACAGCAGTTATTTATTTTACTTGTCACTGTGGAGAACTGTGGAGAAGCTTTGTCATATTTCGTACTTAGGCAATTTTATTGGACGGCATGAGATGATTATGAAGCAACTTGTCAAAGAAATTGAGCATTGGTATAATAATCAGGATAATAATTTTGTTTCCCGGCGACCTTTCGTTTGCTGTTATTAATCGAGCAACTCAGCCCTAAGACTTACTACGAATTGCATTTCTCTTTTCTTCATGTCTCTCTTGGTGTAACAGGGTTGAAGACTATGTCAAGGAAGGATTGGACAAGAAAATTATCGATCCAGACAATGGTTCCAATAAGCAAGCGGCGCCGACTTCAGCAGGATGCAGACTCAGGCAAGATACCAGCCGTAAATCTTGATAGTTCTGTTACCTTTCCAGAGTCGGGTTGGCAGTGCAGCTTGAAACAGCTCCCAACAGTCAGCTTTGCCTCGTTGTGCAACCACTTTATCGAGAAGTCTGTACTGGTAGCAGCCAGGCAGTCCATGGACGTTGCTGTATCAACGTCACCAGTTGATGCCGAGTCATCGTCTAGCGGAAGCAGCAGTCACAGTGACGTGTTCTCATCGTTCAAAGGTGTAGATAGAGGCTACAAGTTCTTCAAGGATGGCCATGTTCAGAAAATTGAACTTGTGACTCAAGAGAATTTTTCATTTGTTCGATGTAACGTGCTGCCATCAATGAAAAAAGATGCAATTTACAAGTGTAAGCTGTGCCTGCGTCCAGATGGCATGGTGAACCTTGCACTATGCACATGTACTGCTGGCTTGGGTGGTGTGTGCAACCATATTGCAGCCTTGCTCTATGCACTTGAGGAGTATGTGCGCATTGGGCTACGTGAGGAAGTTAACATTCCCCAACGTCCCGGCTTTGCAGGTGGAACTGACCCAGGCCTAGGAACGTCGTTCCTCAGCCAATTGTCGACGTCAGGCTGACAAAGGCTGCATTTGGCTCCCAGCGTCAGTCTGAAAAGCGTAAACCCGTGTATAACCCCATCCCACCGAACAAGCGTCTCGTCAAGCCTTCAGAGTTGACAAAGTTTCGTGATGACCTGGTGGCAGCCCACGATGATGCCATATATCCGCACTAACACACCACCACAAAATCCGCACACATATATCCGGACAAACAATGGCCATGCTGCTGTGTCTGCGCTGTTCATATACTGTATATCATAATAATACATCACTCCGTATCTGTCTTTTCATGAAATGTTATCACGATAGTGTGACTCCACCGAATTATCTGCATGTATTTTTTTAGTACTAGTAAATGTTTGGCTAAA